TGTGTAAATTATTTAGGGATTTTATTATAAACTAGAAACTAGCTGACCCCGTGAACTTCGTAACGCCTAACAGTTCGATTTTTTTAGTTTTTTAATACTATTCTTGTATTGAGGACCGGTCAGCTATTCAGATAAAAAATGAAAGTTTGTAATATAATTGTTATGTATTGTGTATTGTGTTTGTAATACAATTGTTGTGTATATTTGTAGTATAATTGTATAACGTCAATAATTAATTGACTTATTGTCAATGTAGTATAATTGTAGTATAACATAGTCGATAGGTCGAGAGAGGAAAATACTTTTACTTACCATAAACTTATTAATCAATTTTTTTTTATTATTAAACTAATTTTAGGTGTTTTATAATTTATATTTTTGACATAATGTAATTATTGACAATAAGTCAATAATTACATTATGTCAAAAATATAAATTATAAAACACCTAAAATTAGTTTAATAATCAATGGAAAATTATTGCTTAATAAGTTTATGATAAATAAAAGTATTTTCCTCTCTCGACCTATCGACTATGTTGCACTAGCCATTATCATGAGCTGACTGGAGTAACAGCGATATCAGTTATGATAATGCTAGCAGTTTTTCTACTACCGTCACTAGGTTGTCCAACGGAAAATCGCCACAGATTTTTTTTAATTAATGATAATAAAATACTGCACTCGCCTGCGCTAACGGTTTACGCTGGCGGGGCACCAGTGGAGGATGATAAGATGAGCACAAAGTCAGGTCAGTTAGCCCATCGTAACAAATTCACCAGTAAATTATCACGTTGGTTTCCAAGATCCAAGGTTTTCATTTGTTTTACGAAAAGAAACTCTATGTAGAGTAAACACAGCTGGAAATACCTTATCAGGTAACCGACGCGTAACCTAGTATTTTCTATTTTCATTTGATTTACGAAAAGAAACTCTATGTAAAGAGTAAACACAGCTGGAAATACCTTATCAGGTAACCGACGCGTAACCTAGTATTTTCTAATTTCATTTGATTTACGAAAAGAAACTCTATGTAAAGAGTAAACACAGCTGGAAATACCTTATCAGGTAACCGACGCGTAACCTAGTATTTTCTAATTTCATTTGATTTACGAAAAGAAACTATGTAAAGAGTAAACACAGCTGGAAATACCTTATCAGGTAACCGACGCGTAACCTAGTATTTTCTATTTTCATTTGATTTACGAAAAGAAACTCTATGTAAAGAGTAAACACAGCTGGAAATACCTTATCAGGTAACCGACGCGTAACCTAGTATTTTCTAATTTCATTTGATTTACGAAAAGAAACTCTATGTAGACAGTAAATACAGTTCAAAATACTGTATCGGGTGACGCGTCTGCTTCTAGTGAACATTTCGAGTGACAACTTGAGTAATTAATTCCCAACTAATTACTGGGATCGTGATTTGAAGCACCCCTTGACTTGTAATAACTAGTATTTGTAGGTGATCTCTCCCAAGCATGAGTTCAAACTAAAATATAATTTCAAGCAATTATATAAAACAAAAGAGTAAATACTTTGTGTTACTAAACTGTTTGTATTAAATTAATTAAACAAACTAATCACATCTTAATCATTACATAGTATAAAACAAAGTCGCTGTCGCTGTCTATCCGTCCCTATGTATGCTCAAATCTTTAAAACTACGCAACGGATTTTGAAGCGGTTTTTTTAATAGAGTGATTCAAGAGGAAGGTTTATGTATATAATACATGTACACCCGTGCGAAGTCGGGGCGAGTAGCTAGTAAAATTATAAATGCGAAAGTTTGTGAGTATGTATGTTTGTTACTCTTTCACGCAAAAACTACTAAACAGATTTCGATTAAAATTTATAGTAATATAGCTTATACATCAGAATAACATGTAGGCTATAAATTACATATGGGTGAAACCGCGGGCACAGCTAGTAACTAATATAAGAAACCGTCTAAATGTGTATTTTTCTATACATCAAGTGTAGCAAGTATGATGTTAGAAACACAACTGTCATTGAAACCTTGCCCTGACAATTGCAAACACAACAAATAATTACCAAATAAGTGTAGCCATTCATTCAAAAATTCTTATTCATGTAGATCTATTACAGACTCTTATGATATGTCAAATCTATCGTCAGTTCGGAATGAGAAAAACTGACAACAACTGACCGAACCGAACTGACGGTAGATTTGACATATCATAAGAGTCTGTAATAACTATACCTACATGAATTAAGATATTTTGATTTGATTGTCAACAAACTAGTTTTACCTAAGTGACGTTTGACGAAAGTTAATACTTCGTAAGGTTTTACGACAAACTCCCAGAGTCTGTACTCAAATTGCCAGAAAAAAAAATCATATGTGTCATAAAATATTTTCTTTATAAAAAAGCTTATTATAAAATTGAAGAATTTGTAAATGATAATAATGTTTTTATAGAAAGTATCTAACTTAAAATTCATAGCGCTGACAATGTTATCTGGTTGAACAGAGATTAAGTGCGTAGCAGTTTCTATTGATTGTCGCATGCCTAATCCTTGCTGTTAATTAAATATAATTAAATCAATATTTATTTAAAAGAGCAACACACAAGTTTATTGCTTATTCTTCTTGTGATGAATCTGCATTCCGAATAAGCAGTAGAATAGAAAAACTTCTAAAGTGCTTATATTAAATTTATTTGAATAAAGATTATTTCTATTTCTATTTGATTATTTCCACACCACAATCGCCACTGTCTGATTGTCAAACAGTTTTTAATTTATCGAAGTGAATACATGCACACTTGCGCTGGCTGCATAAAATGCTAAAAATGGCGTAACCAACATGACTGATACATATACATAAACAACATACAACTTCGAAATGTATCCATTATGCGCATCACGGATCACGTCAGCTCATTACGCAGTCGGCTAAGTGGGGTTATGTTATTGCACTTAAGCGTCGACAGTTCTGTAGCTAAGCCACTTAAGCTCTCTCTGATTTGCATATAATATTATTGTGTACATCAATTATTCGGATTACTTGCATGTCCTGCGACAAATGGACGATTTATTGGTCATAAAACCGTCAAACGAACAGATTATGGTCTAGCGGTTTAGGATACCGCTTTACTTCCAATGGTTGTAGGTTCAATTCCTCAAACAGTTACATTTGATGATGATTATTTATAGGCGGCATCGTGTTTTTTTATATGTAATATACGTATTTACAAACATATATATATATATATATGTGTATAATGGTAGCGGAATTAAATAAAATAATCGACTAGCATACCGTCTTACTTCCAATGGTCGCGGGTTCGATTCCTCGCACGGCACAAACATTTGTATTCATGAGTATAATCATTTGTACCGGTCTGAGTGTTTTCTATGTATAATATGTATGTATTTACAGAAAAAAAATATGTATTTGTATCGGTTCTCTAGTACTCATAATACATGCTTTAGCTAGTTTAACGTGGATCTAGATGGCGCTGTGAGAATTGTCCTGAGATCATTATTATAATGTAAGTCCATTAAGTAACGAGATGGTCTTCCGAAAAAGAATAAAGAATGGTCTTCCGATAAAAAAATATCGAATTTGAGATATTTTTTTTTTTTATTATAACTACTGAAATGTATTATTTTAAAGAGATTTTTTAAAGCCCATAACAATTATAGGAGAGTGTTGCCAACCCGCAAACTGCACAAATGTCTATTATCCCGCGCCGCAGCCTCCCGGCTTCTGAACGCCACTAAATCTGTACTTAACGAACCATATCTGAACTAAAGTAATTCCTGTCTCCGTTTACAAACACCAGATTGGTGTTGTAAAATATTTCATAACAACTTCATACATCTTACTAATATTATAAACGCGAAAGTTTGTGGGTATGGATGGGTGTTGGTTACTCTTTCACGCAAAAATTATTTAATTAAATTTTACTGTAATATAGCTTATACAGGAGAGTAGGATATATAAAAAGTAAAAAATATATAATGATGATGAAGGAAGATAAATATTATATGATTAGGAGAAATGAGGAGATCCGCAGAAGAACAATAGTGACCGACATAGCCCGAAGAATTGCGACTCTGAAGTGGCAATGGGCAGGGCACATAGCTCGTAGGACAGATGGCCGTTGGGGCAGTTAAGTCCTCGAGTGGCGACCACGAACCGGAAGACGCAGCGTGGGAAGGCCTCCTGCAAGGTGGACCGACGATCTGGTCAAGATCGCTGGAAGGCATTGGATGCGAGCAGCGTAGGACCGATCGTCGTGGAGATCTTTGGGTGAGGCCTATGTCCAGCAGTGGACGTCTTCCGGGTTGCGATGATGATGATGATGATGATTATATGATATAATATTTATGTACATAAAAAATAATTATATATTAAACTAGATACACTTACATAAACTACATACATATTATAAACTATATACATAATTTTAAAGTTAAATAGAATAAACTAAATATAAATTAAAATGCCATATAAACTGAAATTTAAATATTGATGAAGAAGTCTTTTACTTGTCGTTTAAAAATATGTCTATAGTATGTGTATAAAGTCCATACTTTGCAGTTCTGATAGATACAGGTGACGAGTTCCATAACTTATTTATTTATAATTAATAATGAGTATATAATAAGTGATATATTTATAATTAATAATAATAATTATTAATTATTATAAATATATCACTAGCTGACTCCGCAACTTTCTCTGCATCACACTTATTTGACATTATATTTCGCCCAATTTACTTCATATCTTTTTAAATTGTGATCTATGTGTTATTCTGGTTTATAAGCTATATTACTGCAAAGTTTCATCAAAACCGTTCAGTAGTTTTTATATGAAAGGGTAATAAACATCCAGTGATCCATCCATATTCACAAACTTTCGCGTTTATAATATTAGTAAGGTACTTAATATATATTTTTCACAATTATACTTACCAGCCTTACTTAAAAAAAATACTCAAAGTTACATTTCTGATTGTTGCAGGTGAAAGTGATGCTACGAGTCGCAGCGCCGGGCGAAGGTCCATTCACGAGTGGAAACCAGACATTCTCGCTGGACAAGCGCAAGAAGCAAGTGAGCCTGTGCGAGAATGCTCTGACCACAGCCACAGCTCCTGAGGATAGGAAAGTTGGCGTCGCGGCGCCGAAAATGTTCGCTTTCGACGCTATATTCTCACAAGATGATTCACAGGTAACTTATAGTTCATTATTTTTTACTACTTTTTCAATGTAAACTCAAATTGACAAATTTCTTGCTGGCCTTAAATTACCAAGACACAGAGTAACTATTACTTGCATAAACGTACTTACTATATATCATTATAGATTCACATACCGAATATACAACGGACTGTGTTCTGATGAATTGTTTGACATGATGCCTACGGCTACCTTTTACCATCGCACCGCTCGCCATCGATAGGGAATTCATCCCCACACGCTGGAACCTAAGTGGTTTCGGACAGTGCGGTTTCAAACCGGTTTCAAACTCATTACAAGCACTTTTGAATAGTCATATTTTGATTCTACCACTCATTCGGAATGTAGATTCATCACAAGAAGAATGAGCAAGAAACTTGTGTGTTGCTTTTTTGAATAGATGTTTTTTTATATAAATAATAACCAGTATATCCCCGGTGTAACAGATGTGTGAGAATTACAATAATGTCAGATCTTGATAAATCGATCGTTTTTTTTAATAGATAATGTGATATAAGAGGAAGGTTTATATGTATAATACATGTACACCCGTGCGAATCCGGGGCGAGTAGCTAGTTCTATATAAACTACATGTTTGCGAAATTTCATACTCCCCTTTTTACGAAATTTGTATGGTCAATTTTTGGAAAAGAAAAGAGAAATAGAACTAAATATACAGCTATAATAAATTCCGATAAACTTGCGGGTAACAGTCATAACTCCGCATTAAACTATTCCTAGTTAAATAAAAATGATGCCTGAAAAATGTCTCCAACGAGCGACGAGCTGAATTTACAGTTTTCATGTTTAAATTGTTAAACGCCTTCTTTATACAGCACCCGGGTATCACCAACTTCGGCGTACTGAAATTCCGTACCGTTTTTCGTTGGGGATTATTCATAGTCGTATAAGGAAGAATTTCCGCTGCGCGTTAAATATAGAATTTAACATGACTAACATATTCATGTATTGAATTTTGATCTGGAATTTCGTCAAATACCGTGATTACTATGAAAAAAGGGGAGGTATAAAACTAAATTATTCAGTACGTTTTAAAACATATTAATGCTGTCATATTCCAAATATTGCACTCATCTAGTACTATATCGATAAAAATATATAATAAACTATCGGAATATTCGGAAAATATAAAAAAATACATTACTTATACTTAAAAAACGCAGTGTAGAAACGTGTATATAATAATGTAACAAATAGATAAAATCTTTATTCGTATCCAGATGTTACGAGTAGAAATAAAATAAAATAAACAGGTGAAAGAAAATAACACATAAGAATAATAAAAAAGAACATCAAAACACAACACTTTAACTTACACATAAAATAAGAACATAAAAATAAACATTAAAATACATATTAGGTGCCACAAGGATACGAAAGGGTTGAGCTCTGTGAACAATTTGCTACACGAGCAAAACACTGATTTGACAAATATTTGACAAACGCTCAATTATTCGATAATGGAGTAGTGCACCCGCCTGGGCTAACGGTTTACGCTGGCGGTGCACCAGTGGAGGATGAGATCAGGCTATCGTGACAAATTATCCAGGAATCACGATGGTTTCCAGGGGGAACTGCGTAGAGGTCAGTCTGACATAGTCCATTGCAAGCAATGGTGTCATCAGTGCACTAACAATCCCCTTTCCCTCTGTTCATATGTAGGTATTGTCCCTACACAATGTAGTCTCGTGTAAATTACCATAATGTACCAAATATTTGACAAACGCTCGTATGCCAAACAATTGGGGTAATTACAATACGGCCAAATGAAGCCGCGCTATCGTAATGTACGGCCGCGTCGCACTACATATGGGGATTACACGATATTAATGGGATTGCGGTGTGCACTGCGTTAGAATTCGCGATAAATTTATTGTATGAACTTCCCCGTTGCAGATTTTAATGACAATTTGTAATAGACATATAGATGTATAGTAACATATAAAAGGAAAGAGTAAATTTTGTTATTACTTGACGGCGTAGCTGACTTAGCGGTTCCACAAATTGACTTCCTTCCGATGGTCGTAGATTCTATTCCTACCACGGTATAAAGATTTGTGTTCATATGTATGATTATTTGTCTGTATATTATGCATGTATTTAGCAATTTAGCAAAAAATGTGCCTATATGTTTATATCAGTTATCTAGTAGCTATAACACAAGATCTGCTTTAGCTTGGGACTAAATGGCGCTGTATGAATTGTCCTGAGACCTTATTATATTTCTGTTATTATGCGGAAATGCCACTTCACCTGTTCATAATATCTCGTTTTATTCTATTGAAATCAATATAACTAAAACAAAGTCAGTAGCTATTTCTAGTTCTGACTGACTCTCCGATTATCAACCAATCAACACCGACAACAGATCAAGTTAATTCGACAGATAACGGACCAAATTACTGGCCCATAACTTAATAACTTAAAGAAAGTATTGCATATTATATATATTGCATAATATGGATGGTTATAAGGGCAGAGAAAGGCCGAAAAAGAGATAGATGGATTGTGTGAAAGATGAATTGGCGAGAAAGGGAATAAATAATAAGATGACTGCGAACATAGATAAACAAAAGAGAAAACATATTATGCCAACACCAAATGAATGGGATAAGAAAGAATCAGATTATAGTGAACATCTTAATCTGAGCTGAACAAATTAAGAATTGAATAATTATACTCGATTCGTTTCCGATATCAAATTAAAAATAACTCAAGTTGTAGTAATTAGAGAGGAATTAATAGACAATTCATTAATTTGAACTGGAGAAACAAATTAAACATTTACGCAGACAATTAAATGCTGCGCGGCGTCATAACTGAATTGATTTACCGCGCACTCCCTCACCACTTTGGACTTAAGCTTTTTCAATTAGCGACTCAAAAGATCATTAAAATTTTCATTCAAAACAATTTCAATGTTTCCGTGTGGAGTGAACGGCCCTTAAGTTAGGGTCGCCAAGCTGTAGACTTTTCATGGGCAGACTCTGGTTCAACATATTTATAAATAAGGACAATTCACAGAGCGCCATATTGTCCCAAGCTAAGCAGCTGTATTATGGATACTAGATAGCTGATATGACTGATTACAACAGCTGTCCAATTCAAACGAGGATCGAATTTACAACGGCCTGAGTCGAGGTTCGAACCTCTTGCCCTTAGATTGAAGTCCATGCCAACTGCATTAGAATAGTTGGAAATAAAACCCCAGATGAAAAAATTGCCAAACCTGGGAAACCAAAATATAGTTCTGGCACAATAAAATTAGGAGACCCGACTGTGGACTTATGTAAAGAGGCGCAAAGCAAAGAAGACAAAGAGCATATTTTTCAATTGACTTTTAATTATAAAATAGTCCGTTTCTTTTTCATCATGAGTATACCCGTGGCTATAGGTCATTCGCGCCTATCCACTAGCAAGTAAATTTTTCCCGATAGAAATCTGTATGAAATCAAAAGCATGGTACTCTGAGATATAATCTGGGCCTCACCTTAAGCCCCTTTAATTATCTGTGGCGACGGTGGAAAGGCGCGCCTCCGCCGGCTTACGACGTAAACACGCTGTAAGTGCCAGATTTGCCTAAATTATTCAGAGTATTATACTCACCTTTGTTGTATTTCGTGGAAACTTTTCTCTCTTTTATACCCCCGTTTGGAATGTTCTTAGATGATAAAATAAAAAGAAAATATTTCATTAAAAAAGTAACGCTGCGATGTAATGCATTCATTATGTTTATAAAAGTTAAAAAGTTATTATTTGTTATTTCTATAAAGGCCTCGTGGGTATGACGATTTAGCATAAGGATAAGGAAATGTACTGTATATACCGGATGACTAGCGGTTGCCCAGGCTTCGCTCGGGTATTTAACAAAAATTTCAAAACTCATAAATTGTACAAATACAGCCTTCGATATTGATTTCCATCCATTTGATATAAAAACTAGTGTATCTATACATCACTTTGCTCTATTGTCAATAGTTTCTTTCAGTGCGTACGCGATATAAGAATTGTTTAGATCACAAGTTAGGTTATAACAATCGATGTTTACATACAAATTCCTAACATTTTGAAATTATTCTATCGCCTATGTACATCAGGTTTAATGTACGATTCTAATGGTAAAAGAATTTTTCAAATTGATGCAATAGTTTAAGTGCCTATTCAGTGCAAACAGACAATCAACTTTTTCTTCTTTACACACGTTATAGATAATAAAGTTACTGCCTAAAATCGACTTGGCAGGTGTAAGTGAGACAGTATGGTAGAAGACTTTGTAGAGTTTATTGTACATGTAAAAGAAATGCTTATGTATGTATGTATTGTTACAGACGGAGATCTGCTCAAGTGCGCTAACTGACGTAATACATGCCGTCATTAACGGCACAGATGGTTGCCTCTTCTGCTTTGGACACGCAGGCCTTGGTAAGCATTCACTGGACATATTTATAATTATTATTGTGACTATTGTCTTTGGTAGAATTTAGTAGTCGATGGTTATAACGTACTCTGACCGTTTTCAGTTCAAAAGCATGCCTAAGATTATGTCTTGTCTTATCTGTATCTTAACTCTTGTGTACAAGCAAACAAACATACGAAGCTTTATAATCTATTAACTTTATTCAACTTTATAATAATCTAATATATAAAATTCTCATGTCACAGTGTTAGTTGCCTAGTTATCTTGTCTATGGTTGCCATACTCCTACAAAACGGCATGACCGATTTTGATTGAATATTTTTTTTTTCGATAGATCTGAGAATTGGTACTTATTTGTCTTTATTAATACTCCAAAGTTAAATCTCCAGATTATTATTTTATTTATTGAACATAATTTTAATTTTTCATCTTTTTAATAAAATAAAAATACATACATTTATAGATTTTGACCTTTCTACCGATGGATTAATAGGTTGTTATCTTTTTGTAATGCCCCTAAGTGATAAGAGTGGCCCCAAAATTATTTATATGTATAATTAGTAAAAATCACGGGATCTTACCACGTTTTATATTTATTTGCTGAGTTCCGGATATTTCGGCTGTGTTTCAACTACCATGATCACGTGTAAATTGTTTTGTTTTAAAACGTGGTAAGTTCCCGTGATTTTTACTAATCTAAATATATATAACTCAAAGGTGACTGACGTAGTAATCTATCAACGCACAGCCCAAACCACTGGACGAATTGGGCTGAAATTTGGCATACAGGTAGATGTTATGACGTAGGCATTCCCTAAGAAAGAATCTTGATAAATTCCACCCCTAAGGGGATAAAATAACGCGAGCGAAGCCGCGAGCAAAAGATAGATATACGTATAAACTTTATTCTAATTTTAAACTAAGTTTTTACTAGTATATCCTATCACGTTCAAGAGAACAAATATACAAACATCAGTTTTATATTATCAGTACAGACTAGTAGGATTGTGTACTAGTGTTATTCAATACCATAGATAATTCTTGGTTTCCTTGAGACTGCACTACGGTTGTTTATCAAACTTTCAATTAAGATCTCGCCACTCTTCAAGTCTTCCATTTCGATGCAAATTCGCTCCCCAGCGTACCCAATGAAAACTTCCAACATATTTTATAGCGTTCACTTAATGTGGTCCATGATAAACTCATCTTCCGTAGGCTTTGTTTAAACTTAACTCTTAGTTTATTAACACTAGACTTGTTAATTTTAATTTAGTATATCATCATTACATAGTATAAAACAAAGTCGCTGTCGCTGTCTGTCCCTATGTATGCTTAAATTAAAACTACGCCACGGATTTTGCAACGGTTTTTTTAACAGATAGAGTAATTCAAGAGGAAAGTTTATGATTTGACAAATACATATAAATAAATTATTATTAATAATAATACGATGTTCAGGACAATATAATAATCATATAGGCAGTCAACTGCTGCCACGGTTACCACTGACCATTCACTTACCGTTAATATGTTTACCATTTCAGTTAAAAAAAATAGGTAATGATAATAATGATGTTCATACAAGCAGATGACGGTTACTATAGACCATTACTTAACTTAAGATGTTTACTATTTCAGTTAAAAAAACAATAATCATTTTCAAATTCTTATAAAAAATAATGAAAATTCAATCACATTTACCATTTCAAGAAAAAAAACAGTAAGGAATGTCTGTATATTTACTATTTGAATTAAAAGCAATAATAAATTCAAATTTAATTGTACAATTAAGAACCTAAAATAAAAAATTATAATATAATAACTAGAATATATTATTAAAAGGCGTCCCTTTAGGAAAAGTTCCGAAGGAACGCTGCCAGTAGGCAGCGTTCCCTCTTTGAATAGCTAGACTAATTCTTTGTCCAAGGTAGCTGCCAGCTCTTCGGTCTTCTGTGATGTATTATATTATATTATATTATTATGGTTAGTATACATAATTCAAATTATTATAAAAAATAATGAACAAGCTATTTACATGTGATCTAATTTTAACAGTAATAGCCAATCATTTTGATGTTGTCTCTCAACATAATGATCTCAGTGGTGTATATAGCCGCGACAAATCTGGGAACGGCGAAGTTGTTTCTAATCCCACAGATCGAGATAATAACGTTGACAAACAATAACCAAATAGGCTTATGTTTCGTCATGACATTTAATATACAGAAGAAAATAAGATGCTTCCTAAAGACAATGGTGGTTATGAAGATTTATAATCTGTGATATCATTTATAGGCTATGGTTTTCTATAATTATCGCAGTGTGACGCAGTTTCTTTAATTGACTGATAATACACTAATACTAATCTTACTATAATTAATAATAATAATCTCAGGACAATTCACACAGAGCCATCTAGACCCAAGTTAAGCTAGCTAGAGCTTGTGTTATGGGTACTCGATAACTGATATATTTTTTTTGTAAATACATACATATTATACACATAAAACACCCAGACAATCATACTCATGAATACAAATGTTTGTGTCGTGCGAGAACTCGCGACCATCGGACGTAAAGCGGTGTGCTAGACCGCTAGACCACCGAGGTCGCAATTAAAGTAATGATCAAATAAAATCAAAGCAGCGGTATTCATTTATATTGAGGTGAAATAAATTTCAACGTCACTCTCCTTATTAACTGGTATTGTGGACTTCTTACCCCTACCTCGTGGATTAGAGGTTTAAATGCAAATTGAATGAGTACCGTACTCCAACGAAACTTCAGGGAACGCGGTTGAAATCTCACTAAAACCGAGCTTAGTGCTACATTCCGCTTATTTTAGACACTGTTGATCCTACCCGCTGAATAATTTAAACCTACTTTCAATTAATACCACATTTCAAATGTTCAAAGTAAATTTAACAAAACAATATATACTATTATCTCTACAATAGATGGTATTTGGATAGTAAATGAAACTTAGTCTAAGATTACGTATTTCTTTGGATATTCAGAATATTGAATCTAAATACTTTATGGTTTCCTTTATTGCTAATCTATGTTAGTTTCGCTAAGCAATGTATAATAATAATAATAATAATGTCTCTGGATAATTCATCAGCGCCATCTAGTCCCAAAGTAAGCAGAGCTTGTGCTATGAATACTAGACAAATACTAGATACACTTATATATATATTTTCATAAATACATAAAAAACAGCCAGACGAACAATCATACACATGTACACAAAAGTTAGAATCGAATCGAATCAAATCGAACGGATAACCATCGGAAATAAAGCACTGTGCTAAACCGCTAAATCACCGAGACCGTCTAAAATATACTAGCATGTGACGTATTACGTCCCGTTTAAAGTCTATCGATATCATGGCTTCAGATGACATTTAAAATAAAGGTGCTACGAATTGAACCCACAATCATCGGAAATAAAACACTGTGCCAAACCGCTAAATCCCCGAGGCCGTCTAAAATATGGTAGCAAATGACGTATTACGTTCTGTTTAAAGACTACTGATAAAAAGGCTTCAGATCAATCAAGAATGTCGTGAGCAAGTGTTTTAATAAGTACTTTATTTACAGGTAAATCCTACACAATGCTGGGGCGACCGGACTCTTCGGCATCTTTAGGAGCCATCCCGTGTGCCATTACGTGGCTCTTCCGTGGCATAGCTGAACAGAGACACAAATGTGGCACCCGCTTCTCAGTGAGGGTCTCCGCTGTTGAGCTCTGCACCAACACCAACCAGATCAGAGACCTACTAGCACCGTATCAGAATGGTATACTAAATTCTACATAAATAAATCATTATTCGCGTGATCCCTAAATGTAGTTCTATAAATTTCTCTAATGAAGGGTATTTTAATAAATCCACATAATCTATATTACAGAATATTTACCATAGACAACGTAGTGGAAATTTAGTCACCAAAGAATATGATTCATTCCAAAATCTACCAATACAATATTACAATGTGTTATGTTACAAAAAATTTAATATTTGTATCTAAAAAATCAGCAAAGCGATATTAGATTAATATGATATTTCCTCATCAACAGATACTGAGCAGTCACCAGGAGTATATCTTCGGGATGACCCACTTTTTGGTACGCATCTCCAAAATCAATCGGAACTTCGCGTGCACAGTGCTGAAAAAGCAGCCTTCTACTTAGATGCGGCCTTATCTACCAGAGGAGCAAGAGAAGAGGGAAAAGACAGTCATTTACTATACACATTACATGTGTATCAATACAGCGTTGGTGGTAAAGGAGCAGGTTAGTCCGGAAAAACCAAATGCTTTATTTATAAATCTAAAGAAATTGAATCCGTGATGAATCATTAACATATTAGAGAAAACCAAACATCTTATTCACATTATTTAAAAATCAGACACTGATACAAAAGCTGAATCGTTTAGAATATGTGGTTCTGCACATATTCTAAACGATTCTACATTCTCTAGTAAAATAAAGGATAATATTTGTGAAGGATGGAGACCAAGACGACGAGTAAAAGAAAAACGGCACCGGTACATTTGTTAATATTAATTCCTTTTCTCTTTTTTCCAGTTGCTGGAGGGCGAAGTCGTCTACACCTAATTGATCTTGGAAACTCAGAAAGAGGAAAAACTAATGGAGGAATACCATTATCAGGATTAGGAAACATTTTACTTGCTATATTCAATGGACAAAGACACTTGCCATATAGAGATCACAATCTTACTCATGTTTTAAAAGAATGTTTAGGTTCCCTTACTTGTCACACTGCTATGATAGTGCACGTATCTCCAAATGTTCAAAATTACTCTGATACTTTAACAACTCTACAATTAGCCTCGAGAATACATCGGTTACGACGACGAAAAGTTAAATATTCTTCAAACAATAACGCTGGTTCTGGAGGTAGTTCCGGTGAAGATGCCTCGAAGCCAAGCAGCAGTGAACCTGACCCATCAAGTAGTGATTTATCAGCAGATACCGTTATATATGTTGGTCCAATGGATGATGCAACTGATGGAGAACATCCACCAGTGTACATACCACATATAAATTCTGGAGACAATAGATGTGTTTTGAGTAAAGCGTTGAGAGGATCAGTAGCAGAACAGAAGCACAAATCATCTTTGTCTAAAGTAATTGAGGAAAAAAGTCCTGTTAATAAATTACATTCATCTCCTAAATCATCGCCTTTAAAAACTCCCATACAACCGACAGGTCAAAGTCCAAAAAGTTCTCCTGTTCATTCTGCGACATCGAAATCAACACCTTTAAAGAAAACTTGTCCGAAACAATTTCAAGAAGACACAAAAAGTAATAGCGATGAACAATGGATCGATGGACCACGTATATCGAAGTCAAAGTTGGTCGAAGCTAGGCACATTATAAAGGAAACACAGTGTAAAAAACGTGAAACCTGGATTGATGGGCCAATGCAAGAAAGTAAATTACCTCTTCAATTTGAATCTTCACCTGTCCAATCGAATTCTATACCCCTTCAAATAGGTGTACTAGGGGCACATGGTAGCGAAACTGTGGGATATGGATACATGGATAATCATAAAAAGAATATGATAAGAAAGTGGGTAGAGAATCAAACTTCCCAAATACATAAATCCAGACATAATTCGCCAAGTCACAAGTCACAGTCTAGCCATAAAGATCCTGGAGTCCGAACGCATGATGATACCGATACACCTCACAGGATGGAACTTTTGGTAAGAGATGCCAGACGTATCCATGTCGAAGAATCTACTATAAGAACTGGTTTAAAAACTGGCTGCAAAGGTATGACCATTGAAGAAGAAAATGTAGGACCGCCTGATATACATCATTCTAAAAAAGGTAGCAGTTCAAAACAAACATCTAAAAATGAAATCGACGAAGACGATGATAGCGAAGAATTAGCTGAAATTCCTCCTGCACTTCCCCTTATACAACCTAGTAGTTTAAGTAGTAGAGAAGTATCAATGGAAAGTTTAGATAGTAAGTATAAGGAACGAATGAGAATGGATGACGAAATGGTTTCTAATCGGAGTAGAGACATCGATTCACGTGGTATAAGTAAGGGTCATGTTGATGATGATGATGAAATTTTAGAAATTATTGAAGTTGAAGAACCGTTAGAACCAGTACCAATGCAAGATTGTTGTCTACAAGTAACTGAAGAAGATATAGCTTTTTGCATGGGTTTTTCTGAAAATCCTCTTCCTGAAGTAGATCAAGAAGATTCTGAAGATCATCCACTTAGAATTCTTAGTCAAGAAAACTTAACTGTAGCATCTACATTCACTGATACGTTATCATTATATAGTGAAGTCGAACGTCAGATTCGAAAAGAAGCTATTCTTAGACAAACATTCGGATATTACCCAGAAAATTATACATGTGGTCATCCTCTGGTAGATTTAAATCCTCATGAATCATCTAAATCAAGGATTGACGAACTCTTGGGGTTAACCGAATTATATGGTTCTCGGCATATACTGGATGATGACCTATCTATTTCAAGAATTAATCCTCACTTTCAATCCTTATCGCTTTCGAATGTTCGAGATACAGAGGAATATCATGGCGATGGCTCTGTATATAGCGAGCCCGCATACAGACCTAGTGATAAAATATGTGATAGTTGTAAAAGAACTATGTCTAGGCCAGGTAGTGCAGTAGGCGATTGTGCATATCAAGACTTAGAGGCAACCAATAATGAATCCTATGGTCCTTTTGAGAGATATCGAGGAAACGACATAACAGATGCTCGTATAGCTTCACTGAGACATCCAGATGGGGCATCAGATCCTAACCTACGTGAAGAAAAAAGGGTACCCGGTAATGGTGCGCCCTCTACAGATACATTTAGAGAATTAAAATCAAACTTACATCTTGAAGTATCACCCCCAGTAGTTACTTCTGAACCTCGTATGGATAAGAACGAAAAAGGAGATAAAAGCGTTGCGAGGGTGGTTGCTAGTTCGAAACCAGATGGCTATGATAGCGGTCATGAATCAACGCCGAGGACAGGAAAACATAGTCCTGCGGCAACATCAAGACGGGCAGAATCTGGATATGACTCAGTTCCAAGAGATTCCGATGCATCGTCTTTGGATTCTTATCCTACAAGACGTGCTGCGGTGGCCCGAGCCCACGCCAAGAAACACACAACAGCAAAATACAAGCAACACAGCGATCGCTCCTTCTGTTCTTGGCTTCGAAATCCTTTCACTTGTAAATACGCTGACACAGACCCTGAAATTAGTGACTTTTAATGTGATAAATTTGTAAAATATAATAATCACGTAATATAAAACCTTAATATCATAAGCTACGTTACCGAATTTAATCTGGAGACTGCTTTTGTACTCTAGATGTACTCGTATTATAAGCTTGGCACTAATCCGATGAGGTTACCACTGTATTTTTCTAAACCTGAAGCTTCTGTGCTCTAAAAAGTCTAAGATAAACTTAGCAAAAGTTAGATAATTGTAACACTATTGTAAATACAAATGTATGATGCAACGAATGCCATACCGTTAGAGTTAATACTTGTACTTCCGCTCATTTTGTACTTTTATACTATCATCATCGACTGCCTTTACTTTCGTAAGAGGACGTTAAATTTCACTGTCGATATGCTTTTGTGCAAACTCCAAAAGCAATTAAGAGTCTTCCTCGGTCTTCCCCGTCTACAATTTCGTCATATCCTGGAATATATACTATATTTTCTTATGCCCATAATTGAATCACCTCAGTCCTATTTGGATTACTACATGACTCCATTTTAAGATTATCAAAATTAATAAATTTATTTTAATTTTTAACAAAATCTACATAATTTCTAATATTGTTTATAAGTATATTATTTAAGTATGAAATTTCGTAGAAAACACGATCACCAGAATGAAAGTCAAGAGTTGCCGTTACTGAAAGTAAAATATTATTAAATATTCATGGTGATATATTAATATCTGTTTCAACGACTATAGATCTAAGACTGTTGTCTGATTTGCCATGTCATAGCTTTAATGTTTAATATTGTGACTTTGGATCGGTATGCCCAACTGTATGTTTGTATTTGACTAATTAATACTTGATTGCAATCATTATGGCTTTATCAAATGTTAATGAAGACGTTATCGCTTTATATTGTCAATGTTTTGTTATTGTAAGATTAATATTATAAATATATATCCTAAATTCTACTATGCGTTTGTATTAGTTCACAATAAATTGTTCAATTTCAATTAGATATTTTATTTCATCACAAAATGTCACTATACCTACACGTATCAGGAATACAATCATCATCATCATCACCATCATCATAAATATAATAATACATAATAATGTTTCCATCATTATTATTATTTTATTATTATAGTATGAAATAAAGTCGCTGTCGATCTCTCTATCCATTGTTCCAAGTATAATACATATACTTTATGACTTTAAAAATAACGGATAAGAGAAGTTAGTTCGAGTTATTCGGTTTCTAGTAATAAAGAGAGACCTATATCTATTACAAGGTTTTTAAATAGTTTAATTTATTCACTACATAAAATTAGCTAACATATAACTGCATAAGGTTAACTTGTAGCTTTCCTTCTGTACACGTGATTTTGACCAATCAAGAATAAAAACAAAGTTCAATGTTTTTTGTTCATGACTAGCTGCATCCGCAACTTCGTCCGCGTGGAATTTATCTTTATTTTTCTAAAATAAAAGTAGCCTAAGTTACTCCTTGTTAAAATCGGTAAATCTCCAATAAAAGTCCCGTCAAAATCGGTTCAGCCATTTCAGAGATTAGCCGGAACAAACAGACAGACAGACAAAAATTGTAATTGTTCTTTTGGTGTATGTACCGTACTTATATTCATATGCATGTAGTAAAAAACGATTACTTCAATATTACAAACAGACTTCCAATTTTATTTATATGTATAGTATGTCTAAAATAAGAACGAATTTTATTTGTTAAAATTTGGTTCAATGAATACATTTTATACCAAATAATAACTCAAAACATATTATATACATACTGTACATATTTTTTTTAATTTGACGAGGTCATTAGTTATATGCAAAATTAAGAAAGTAAAAAAAACGCAGCATTACCACCAATTTACTTGTGTAGATAGAGGTTGTGACACAGCCGAAATATCTCAACTCGTTGATAATAGATAAAAAGTGGTAAGATCCCGATAATCTTTCAATAAATACTACACAGCACTTGTAGCAACAGAAATCAACAGCACACGTACCTGCAGTTTCACTGTAAGCAATTAGGAAAATGGTGGGGTACGTCATGGATCGAACGATCTGTAAACAATGACACACAACAGGCTACGGTTAACTTTGACATTTATAAGAGCACCAACATTGTAACTGAATTTCCAGACCATTATCCGAATTGAACCGACGTAATCTACGCAAAGCGTTTTAGAACCGAACTCGGAGTGTTATACGTAGCTATAACACTCAGTATTATACAAAACCCATGAATAAATAAACGGAAACTGGCAACTTCACATCGCCCTAGAGGTGCAATCTCAGAATCTTGGGATATAAACTTTTTTCCCCATGTAAAGTAAAATAACTTCGGCCCGTTAAGAGGGGCGCTATTATCTTTCATTTCGCTTGTAATTTAACATTCTCCACGCGCCCCAAGAAAATCAAGCTATCAAAAGCGTTTACCCTCTTTTTTTGGGGGTGACAACTTTTTTCCACGAAAATCTCCCAATAATTTGTTAAAGTGGCAGCTGCTTAGCTCATAACGCTTATCGAGTGGTAAAAAGATTGCCCTTTTACTTTATATATAGGTTGGATTTACCTTTCAGCGATTTAAAAAGTTTCATTATGAAATACTTATTGGGTTAACCCTATAAATACGGATATTGTTTCTTTAGAATATATGTATTATATATAAAAAAAATAATAGAACATTCTTTATTCAAATACATTTAAATTTAAGTACTTTTAATTAATCACTTTTTTTTTTAATCTACCGCCTATTCGGAATAATGTCTCATCACAAGAAAAACGAGCGAGAAACTTGCGTATTGCTCTTTCATGTTCTGGAATCGAAGATTAATATAATATGAAGTATTCCAATATGGCATCCAAACAAACCTTCCGCCATTTCTCAGTTTATTTTTGCTTTGTTCTTTATGTATGACTAGCTGTTCCCGCGACTTGGTACGTGTGGAATTTAACATTATTTTTCTAAAATAAAAGTAGCCTAAGTTACTCCTTATTACATCAGCTACCTGCCAAAAAAAGTCCCGTCAAAATCGGTCCAGACAGACAGACTGACAAAAATTATAAAAAATGTTATTTTGGTATATGTACCGTATTTATATTCATATGCATTTAGTAAAAAACTGTTATTTCAATATTACAAACAGACACACCAATTTTATTTATATGTATAGATAATGTAATGTTGCTCTCATCAGAGCTAACGGTTTATGCTGGCGGGGTACCAGTGGAGGATGATAGAATGAGCATGAGGTCAGGTCAGTTCGCCTATCGACACAAATTTACCAAGAATTTGTTATGATGGTTTCGAGGGTAACCGCGTGGAGGTCAACTCGACATGGTACATTGGGGTCATTAGTCCATATTACTTACAATGCCCTTCTCTTTTTTTGGTTTATTATCTGTGATTCTTTCACCGGAGATATTAGTACATTAAGTTTCTTTTTGTGTTTTTCGATTTTCATCTCACTACCTTTTGAGTGTAAGGCGGGGTGAGAAACCCTAGAGGTTTCTAACCAGATTGGTGTAATCTTATTGATATTATAAGTGCTTATATATAATTAATTATGTATGTGAGTATGGATGGGTGTTTGTTACTCTTTCACGCAGAAACTACTAAACGAATTTTGTTGAAACTTTACGGTGGTATAGCTTATACATCAGAATAACATATAGGCCGTAAATTTCAGGCAGGCAAACCGCGGGCACAGCTAGTAATATAATATTACATTTTTATTAACTCTCTTGAAGCTACGGCAGATAATAAAAAACATTTTTTCATTCGTGAGACCCTAATTCCTGAGTTACGTGAAGTCGGATGAAGATTTTCCTAATGTGAAAAAAAGAGAAAACAGTAAAGTATCACCTTTTTTTAAGTCATCAGGAAAAATAAAGAACTAGCGATTAAGTTAAAAAAACTGTTTGCAAACAGAACAGAGTTTTTTTTTTATTATTTTTTAAACATCTTATATAAAAAATTCTCGTGTCACAATGTTAGTTACCATACTCCTCCGAAACGGATTGACCGATTTTTATGAAATTTTATATATTCAGTAGATCTGGGAATCGGCTACTATCTATTTCTCATACCCTTAGGTGATAAGGGTTGTCCACCCCTAACATTTTTTTATAATGTAGCATTAAAAATACATACATCTCTAAATTTTCTTTCTCTTCTAGCGTCAACCCCTATTTTTAATAGCGATTTTAATTTATATAGTCAAACAAGGTTTGTCAGGACAGCTAGGTATATTCATATAATCAATATAATATAAGTTAACAATCAGTTAGGACCTGTGTATGTGTGAAGAATAGTAATAGAACTAATCTTTATTCCAATAAACTTATAAAGCGTACAAACGGAAGGAATCGAACCCAGAAAAGGTCTTGTTTGTTGTGTCACCGCGCCAAAGGCCCGTCAAATCGGATTGAAACACTATTTCGACCCTTACGTATTGGTTTTGTTATTATTTCCGTAGTTTTCTTTGGTATCACGTCCAATGTTTCAGCTATATCACCTACATGTGAGTTAGTAACCTTACGCTTCGGTAATAGAGTTGCTTTTAACTTAGTCATCAACATCAGTTACGAGTCAATAGGTGTTTTGTCTTCCCATCACGTGCCAGGTTCGACTCCCTGGCCGGGCGTGTCTCCTGTATTGCTCGTATTATTTTTATCCGCATTTTGTACTTATTGCTTGGGAATTATGTGACGTGGCAACATTATTAAATGTGGTTCGTTTGGTGGTAGTTATATGATCTCTATCGGACTAAGCCTGATGTATGGGTCGTATTAATTGGATTTAGTCAGCCATTTTGCTTGTTCAGTTTGAGACAGTCGTAATGTTGTCGTGTACCTAATTATGGCTTATCTCAGAATTGTATATATTGTGTTTTTAGTCAATTACTGCTGTTGATAAATATTGTACATTAACAACTCACTTTCAAGCTGCTGTTGCTCTGTTATTGATAACCTCGATGATACAGTGGTTTACTGCCTTACTTCCGATGGTCGCGGGTTCTATTCCTCGCACGGTGCAAACATTTGTATTCATGAGTATGGTTGTTTGTATCGGTCTGGGTGTTTTCTATGTATATTATGTAAGTATTCACAAAAAAAGTATTTAAGGTTCGATATCGTTTGTCTAGTACCCATAACACAAGCTTTGCCTAACTTGTGCGCTATGTAAATTGTGGTTTAACGGCTTATCACACCGCCTTCCTTCCGACAGTCGCGGATACGATTCCTTGCAGAATACAAATATATTGTATTCGTGAGTATAATTGTTTGATTTGATCGAAGTGTTTTATATAGATATATTATGCATACATTTACAATAAATATGTATTTATTATAACTATAGCCACTTAATTACTTAAATAAATAATACAATATTTTGTAATACATCATAATATAAAAATTAAATTTTTTATTTCTCATTATTATTTTAGTTTCTGAAATAAATAAAGTTCAATTTTACAGTATAAATATGTCGTTGTAACGTTTAAATTTTCATTTAAATTAACCTAAAGAACACTAATGAGAAAATAACATAATTCCTCCTTACTGAACATAGAAGCTCCTTTTTTCGAGTTAGTTAGCTCCAAGAAAGGTTATAAATCAACTGCAGTTAAATACAAGTACAAGTCCCGTAGTAACAGCCGTTTAATTCCCGTGTGAATAATCTGGAATAACTTTTAAGACGAAAAAGAGCAAGATCTCGCATCCTCCATTACTGTTAGGTGTTTAATTCCCAAAGTTCCGGTAGAAATTAATAAAAAAACGGCCGACTAAGAGTTCAACTCGCACTGAAAGTTGGCTAATGAAGCCGACCGCGATTCTATTATTCACAATGAGTTTGAAAATTATTTAACATTTAGTTTGCGTTGTAAAATACTTGCAAAAGAAGTTTCGTTTTGGAAAATTCTAAATATATCCGTAACACGTT